ATTTTGCTTCCTTAGCGTCTGAGAAAGCCGTTCATTTTTGAGAGGTGAAAGGAAAATGCTTGTTATTAATAATATTCATGGTCATGTTTCACAACTTTTCTTACTTTGCTATATAATCTTGTTAGTGCGAGAACCCGATTGTATATTTATTGTTGGATTTATCAATTAAGGAACGTGTCATCAAGCATCAGATATTCTTACAAGTTATGGAGTGTCCAAGAAAAAACAGATCTATTTAAATTATCCTGAAGCCACATCCTCATGGTGATAATTTTTCTAGCTGTTTTTAGATAGAGAAGTAGGTACTCACGTGTAAGTCCCAAAGAAAGCTACCACACATGTTAATAAGAAATCTTAATAATGGCATACTACCTTAAGGAACAGTATAGCCATAGAAAATTGAGTTTCACCTTTTTCCTTGAAGGATCTGCAAAAGCCGAAAAATTGTTTTGTACCACTAACTGTATGACCCATATGATCTTGTAAAGAATGAGTCTTAAGTCCCAAGTGGTCAAAGATAAAGCCCCTGCTTGAATCTTAATTTTCAGCCTTGCAAGTAATATCAAGAAGATCAAATTTAAAAGTGTTTCTGCAGCCATATTGCATTTTCATGTAATAATTAAGTTTCTTCTGAAGTTTATTCTCTTTATTTTTCCTTACATTTCACTTAGCTTTTAAGTCAGACTTGAAAGAGGCTCAAATACTGAAAGAAGAACTACAATATTGAACCGAACATGCAGAGTAGTAGTGTTGGGTGAATAATTGTTTTGAACAAGGTGAGAATACAAGAAGTCAACAAGTAACTAGAGTTAATATTTGATCCTCCTTGTGAAAGCAGATGGCCGAGGGATTTTAACTCTGCCTGTTAAAAAAAACTGTAAGCACTTTTTAACTTGCAGTTATTAACAACATTAGGGGAAAAGAGCAAAATTAATCATTGAAGTTTTTATAGCTGAAGTACCACGAGTTTCATAGCAGGTGATATAAGTATCCACCATAGTTTTTCTCATGACAAGTGAAGAGGAAATGATGAAACAGCTGAGAATATATATGATGAAATATATTAAATTGACCTTGGTTTGGATTACACAAATAAAATGTTAAGATCTTTGGTTTAAGATTCTTTGTGGACTTCCTTGCATATAGCATTGGGAAAACAATATTGAAGTAATTTTTTAATTAAATTCTTTTATTCTCTGAGGTTAGAAGACAATTATATGAACTGTAGTTTGAATAAAGTAATGTACTAACCTATACTGGCTAGATAGATTTGAAATACAGTGAGTTCTGTGGGTTTTATCCATCACCAAATAATGTTTTCTTTTTGTAACATAGGCAATTTTGATACTGTCTGCATACACAATACGTAATCCCAAAGCAGAACTGTCGCAGCTAATGATAGAGAATTACATATATCCTACATTGTGTATATAATATCCATATACTATTTCAAATTCAGTGTGCAAGAAAACACAAACTTTTTAAGAAAAGATTAGTAACAAAAGCACAGGAATCAGAACAGATGGCACAAATCAGAGCAAACTTATCTTTTACTGCCTTCTGTACAATGCAGAGATGTTTTTACTGTTTCATGATGTGTCCTTTTTTTTTCTTGCCAATAGAAGAGTCTTTTCCTTTACAGTTCTAAGTGTCAGGAGGAAAGACAAAAACAAGTATGAACAGGTAAAACAAAATCCTGTGTAAGCTGAGTGTCACAAATAACAGCAAGGCACTGCTAGTGCTTTTGTTTTGATAAGATTGCAAAATAGTGACATCAGGTTTTCTTTTCATTAACCAGGGAACAGATGAAAGGCTCCTTCTTTAATGTACAATGTGATTATATTTGCAATAAAATGAAATGACATGAAAAGATTATTACTGAAGGACAGAAGACTGTCCTGATTCTTTTACAGCAATCTCATTATAATCAGTGTAAAATGCCACCAAGGTATTACTTTCATTCATAAAATCTCAAATGGTGACAGGTAATAAAGTAACAAAGGATTTCTAACCTGGAACATAAGCCATATGGAAAATAAAATGAGCATCTACTGATGTCTGTCATCTCTTACATGATCCTCTTGATGCATCAGTTTCTTATGCTGAGCAAAGGTGAATGCAAAGGGGATAGAGGACTCTACCACATGAGGAGGATTGTGAGTATTTCAGTGGCATAAGGCAATGGAGAAGTCCTCCAAATTCTGTCTCTTACTTTGTCTTCAGACTTTCCATGTCTTTGATGATAATGGACACAAACATTGCATTCTCCCAAAGGCTCTGGTGCAGTATTCTCACATGTTTCTTTCATAGCTTTTAGAATGTAAATGAGGAGGAGTTAGTGATGTTGTTTTTTCATTTTCTTTTAGGGAATCCTAATAGTAGAACACATGGAACAGGAAATTGCACAGTTCTTATAAAGTGTTGCTGGTGTTGGGAAAAGAAACAGTCTTTGGCCCGATTAATTTCTTGGGGGTTGTTTTCTTCAAAAAAAGAGGGTAGACTTGAATATGCCAATATAGGCTTAATAACTGTGAAAAATAAAAGTAATAAGAGTAATGACATTACAGTGGTTTTGAGAAAATTATTGATCTGAGAGGGAAAGTCAAGCCTGTACTTACAGTGAATGGAAAGGAAGCTTGACTGCATCTTAAGAAGCTATTTTAAAATGGAATAGAAGTTAGGTCTCGAAGATACTGCAGGTTTTTCTTAGGGACATGGAATTTGGTTCTGACAGAAGGAGATCTTTTAAAAGTAATCCAAGTCTGCCTTCCTTTTGTGAAGCCTTGAGTAGCTGCTAGAGAGCCTGTATGTTTTTCTTTAACCAAATGGTGCTAGTTTAAGGTACAGGCTTTAATTTGCCATCGAAAGAACTGCTTATGCACCCGAGTATTCTGTTGATTTTAAGTTCAAATAAGTGTGTTTTCTTGAATTCAGGTCACAGAAATATATTAAATGCGTAAAGAAAACCCATGTAACTTAAGCTTACAGAGAAAGGAGGCAAACTTTCATTACTGTTTGATTAAGGGCATAACTGGAAAGATTCTAAATATGAACTAAACCAAGCCATTATATTTTCCAATTCTGTCATTTGGAAGAAAATTCTGGATGCCTGACTTGAATGTCTACCAAAATTGGCATTAACCTTCCAAAGGAGAAATAGAATTGATTTGGTAGGGCACCAAACAGTTAGACCAGTGAACAGACATTCTTCCATCAGCATCTATTATCGGAAATATCTAGCTTTCCAAATGTCAGCTACTAAATAGACTCACCCCACAAGCTAAGATAAAGCTGACCTGACCTTTGACACCACCTGCTCAGGAATGGGAATTTCTTAAGCATGCTATTCTACACAGATAAAAAGTTCACAAAATTTGACCTGGAAAGAATGGTTAAAGGAATTAGTTTTGTTTAGTCTAGAAAAGAGCAGACTGAGGGAGGATGTGATTACAATCTTCCAGGATGCAAAAGAATGTTATAAAGATGCTAGTGATTGGTTTTCTGTGCCCAGTTGGGGAAAAGACAAGAATAAATATATTGAATACAAATAAAGGTATTGAGGTGTAATGTACTAGGAGAAAAATTTCTAAGAATACAAATAGCGAATATTTTCATGGCTACATAAGAAAATTATCATCTTACTAGCTAGAAATTTTCAAGAATAATTAGACCAAAACCTGTCATTTATAATCAAGGTTGCTAGTGTTCACAGTGCAAGGTAAATAGGTAGATGTATTATGTGATCACTTAACAGTCTTTGCCCATCTTTCATTTTCTGTAGCTGCTACATTTGGCAGGGCACTCTAGACTTGTTACATTGGATAGAAAAAGATTTGGTTAATGGGAGGCTTTTTATTTGTAGAGGATACTTCAATAACAAAATAACTTTTAAGAATTCTGATTATGTGATTGAGATAACAGAGTGGCAGAGTAAAAGGTAAGGAAATCATAAAGATTACTTACTGGCTTTGGATGCAGCACTGTATTAACAGTAGCAGTGAGTTTGCTATTTAAAATTTTCTGTGTTACTTGAGAATTTTGGTGTCATACATTGTTTCCTGGTTGAAGTGAATAAAAGAAAGCTGGAAATAGTGATAGTCATCCTATACAGATATACATGGGGCTGAAGCGTGACGTACCCACTTGAAAGAACAGAAATAACATCAAAATTATGTCAGCTTTCCTAAACATTTGTAAGAACTAAGTAAACTTGGGTTGACAATAGGGGTTGAAGGGATAGGACAAGGGGTAACGGGTTAAAACTTAAACAGGGGAAGTTTAGATTGGATATAAGGAGGAAATTCTTTCCTGTTAGGGTGGTGAGGCACTGCAATGGGCTGCCTAGAGAGGTTGTGAATGCTCCATCTCTGGCAGTGTTCAAGGCCAGGTTGGACAGAGCCTTGGGTGACATGGTCTAGGCTGAGGTGTCCCTGCCCATGGCAGGGGTTGGAACTAGATGATCTTAAGGTCCTTTCCAACCCTGACTATTCTATGATTCTGTCCTATGATTTTAACTTTTCATAGTGTGATCCATCAAGGTCTCAAAACTAACTGAATAAAAGTGGGGAAAAAAAAGCAAACCAACACTACAGAGTATAAGTTATGTATACATATTGCAGGTAAAAATGAAAGTGGGTGATGGTTTTAATTCCCATTTCATGTTGGTGCAAGTTGTTTGTTGGTGGTTGAAACCATGACACACTTGCAGCTCAGTTTTTTATACTTGTAGTTGGCTGCAAGAGCTTAGAGATATGTTAGACCTATAAAGTCTTATTGAAGCATTTATTTAGATGCAAAAATATAAAGTAGTGTCAAACATCAGGGCTTTCATTTTACAAATTAAGCAAATTTCTTGAGTTGTAGGTCCCTGTGTTTTCAGATACTCTGTGAAAGAGCATGGTAATATTTATCTTTTTTTCCTCTCGAGTTTAGGAACTGATTATATTATTTATATTATGTATGTATTACATACATGCTTTGTTGTTTTTTTTTTTTTCTAGGTGCTGCACAATGGACTTGTGATGGAAATGAATCATCCAACAGCTGGGAGGATAGCTGTTCCAGGTTAGGTGTTTAATCCTTTTTTCTAAATGGAGCTTGAAATGAAAATGCTGCGTGACATTCTGAGTAGTTCTGGAACTTAGCTGAGGACATGACACATCTTCACATTTCACTCAAATGAACAGAAGTTCAACCAGGAAGACATTTGTGCTCATATTCATACTGGTAGCAGCAAAATGGGTTAAAATGTGTGTCAAAATAGCTTCTGGTTTTCATCGGTCAATCGTCATAAAACGTGAACATGGATTTGATAATATTTGCAAACTCCCACTGCTAGAAATATTACTGCTAAATCATCTACACAAATCTGTGAATCTGTTTTTGATTTAGGTTGCTTTTGCAAGTTACACAGGCTTCTTTTAGGGACATTTCTTTTGTAAAAAAAGAAACCCCCAAAACCAAAGAAGAGGGAAGTTCATACTGAAAGTTTTATCACACTCTTTCGTTTAATGAGATTAAACGTGAAGCTCTGTAATGATGAAGTCTTAAATAGCTATTTTGGAATTTCAAAGAGTATAGAAGTAATGAACTAGTCTCTCTTCTTTTAAATTCTAAGTGGATCAGGAGTTGGAGCTGGTGTAGCTTTGCTTCCATTAGAGTTACTTATGGAATGAGGTTAGGTTCATCCGGAGCCACATATTCTCATACAGATCCTCACAGTTGGCTCTGTTCTGACAACTGAGCCTTATCTGACAATCTACTAGCTCCTGGGTCAACTTTTTCTGCTTCTCTGTGCTTTTTTCTCTCCAAGCCACTTTGAGAATTGTTTCCTCCTTCATTCAAATCAAAGGACTGTATCATTTTTATTTTTATAACATCTTCTCCTTACACTGTGATTTTCTGTGCCAATTGCACCCTCTGACACAGCATCCAGTTCTCATCAATTTCAGTTGACTTGAGCACATGTAGTGGTAAGGAGAATTTGACCCATAGAATTTATCTTAATTTGCACATCCTGGAATCACACTGGGATGCAGAAAGAACTATTTGAAAGAAATCAATCCCATGTTAGATCATGTTTTCTGCATGAATAGAGGGGGTGTTTTGTGTATGTGTATGCTTCGTATTTGCTCTTTATCACAGTTTGCATTCCGCATTTGGTCCCATTAGGCTTGGATGTTTGGGTGGTTGTATTCAGAAGAGCTTCTCGCATTTAAATACACAGATCTGGAAATAGCAATCCTGGTTCTTTTTTTTTTTTTTTTTTTTTTTTTTTTAGATTCTAACAGAAACGTAATTCTGGTTTATTTATCCAAAAATGAAAACACTAATAAGGGTTTTGATTTAATTCCTTTTAAAGAAGTAGGCAGAAAAGCCTTGCAGATGGTAGAGAAGGCGCGTAAGGTTTTCCTGTTGCATACAATGTATAATCTATCTTAGAGAAAGCAAATACTCCTTAAGGGGGTAGCTTAAACTGCAAGAAGAGGAAGGAGATGAAAGGAATGTTCTAATGTCTGTCAGCAGCGATAGAATGTATTGGCAAGAAGTGAGTTTTTACATAGGTAAGCCATAGTATTTCCCAAATCCTTAGGTATTTTTTATTTATTAAACCAGTGACACTGCACTAAACTAAAATAAATCATCTTAATCTCTAATGGTTTGCCATTTAGTTGGGCTTCTATTAAGAGTTTCTTGTATTGAAGCAGATGGCTGAAATGATTATTGGATATTTGAGCAGGAAAAGGAGAATTCCTTCCGTTCCTGGCATGGGAGGATAAGGAGGGGAAAGTCAGGGGAGGGAAGGGTGAAGGACACTCATTCAATGTGAGTAGAATGGACCTATTGATATCACTGGAAAGGCAGCGCATTACTCTGTCCCAAAATTAAAGCACATGAGTGAGTTGGTGGTAGGTAGTGGAAGTACCCTAGAATTGTGGTGGTCAATGATGCTTCTCAATGACTACTTAAAATTTTAACAACTTTTTTTTTATTTTTATTAAAGATGATTATATTTGAATATATTATATTTGTAGAAAACATCTTTACTAAGCTCTTAGTTGCTGGTTTAGGGTTGCTTATTAAGCAAGATTAAGATATCAATGTGAATGTTGAAACTGAATAGGCTAAAAATGTCTCTCCATAAAGAGACTGGGGAGACTCTGGTCCCAAAATAAAAATAGGTGAATGTTATTTCTTAACCATAATAAGCCAGATTTTAATGTGTCTTTTAGTAATTGAATTGGTCATCACACTTGAGGCTCTTGACAGAGGTCAGACTTGTGCTGCCAAGTAAATTTGTGAGTGCGGTAAGAAACACTTACTGAGTGAGACCCTGTGGGCAGATTTCAGCTCCAAGTATCGTAGCTGCACTCTATGTCTAACATTGGTTTACAGTAGTCCTTCTCCAGGCATGGACTTTGAGAGTGGATTCAAATCTGTGCTTGAATTTTCACTTGTAGATCTTGCATCTTGAAATTCTGAGGGATTTTGCCATTGACTTCAATGTAAGCAACATTTTTAATCTCAGACTTGATGACTCATACTCTGCTTAAATATCTTTCGGTATGGTTGTTGAATTTGGTAATTTGCACACCTAGTCAGTGCTTTCACCCTTGCCTTTTTTTAGAATTCCCAGCCTGAGATATGTTGTGTGCTGATAAGCACATCACGTGATACTGGTGGAACTGGAGTGGGAGAAGTCACAGTATTAAAACCATATTTCTATTAATTTTTCTCTTCAGAATGCACATTGATGGTAGGAAGGATATAGACCTTGTATTTCCATATCAAGTCTTCATTGAAAAATGCCTTTGCATATATATGCTGCCATTACAATTAGCAAGATAACTTAAGTATGGATGTGAAAACAGAGATCATCTGATGATCATCTGACTAAGAGTGACTGTATAAAAAACTGTAAGATTGTTTTAAAGAAAAATCTGGTTCTGTAGTAGTCTGGTGGTTTCACTAGGATGTTTCACCCATGCCAGTCAGTATATTTATGTCACATAGTTATTCTGGAGTTTACTTGTTTCATACATATACTTATGCTTACACTTGACATATTCTATGTAGAAGGTGCAACACATTGGGAGAGCCATGCTTGAGTCCAAAAGGTCTGCCACTGTACTGCACCAATTCAACACAGGTCTGGTTCATGTGACTGCAGGGTTGTACTGATGAATCTGTGTCTGAAGTCAGCTTCATCATCTTTAGCTGGGGCAGGGCCCCAAAGATGATCAGGAGCTGACGCACCTCAACTGGAGGGGCTGCGGGACAGGGGCTGGTACAGCCTGGGGAAAAGGCAGCCTCAGGGGGGGCTGACAGCAGCCCCCCTGCACCTACAGGGAGGTTATCAACGTGGAGAGCCAGGGTTTTCAGCAGTGCATGATGGGAGAGTGAGATAAAAGGGATTCAGACTGGTTATTGGGAAAGTCTTTTTCATCATGACGACAGCCAGGCAGTTGAGCAGGTTGCCCACAGAGGCTGAGCGGGCTCTGGTCTTCAGGTTTTCAACAAACAACTAGATAAAGCCATGAGCAACCCGGTCTGACCTCAGACCTGATCCTGATTTGAGCAAGAGCTTGGACTGGGGACTTCCTGATTTCCTTTCCAACTTGGATTGTTTTTGTTCTGTGATTAACCTCAGTGTCTCCTCGCTCAGCTCAGTTGTACTTAGCCCTTTCCATAGAGATCTGGAGGAAAAATGACATAGTTTAATAAAATTGGAAGTGTATAGCACAGAAAGTACTTTTGAGGGAAAAAAAAATGATAGGGAAGAGAAGTTTTGCAGAGTTCCAGATTGCAGATGATGCTGGATGGCACAGAGACAATACAGTTAAGTGAAGGGACATTTCAAGAAGCTTTAGTGTTTGGGTTAGTCTTGAACTACTTTGCCAGATAGTAATGGACTTTTCTGAAGAGCGGTAGCATGTGGGTTTTTGTGAGCCACCAAGTAATTCTGAGTTGCAGTGCAGAGCATAATGGATAGCAACCCGTACACATTATGTAGGGAGAGCTAATGGATGCAATGCAATCTTGCCCAAGCTTTTTCCATTATAATCTATTTTATATGGTTTAAGAAACTCAAATAATAATATTCCCAACTTCCTCATTACCTAGTGTTGGTAATTTTTTACTGATGGTTTTTTTTTTATAATCAAAAAGGTGTTTGTAATATGATTTAATTTTTTTTTTTGTAAGCATAAAACACAGTGCATTCAGCTGTCCCTAACAAACCAACCTTTGTAGATAATAAATCTAATAACTAGCAGGAACCTCTGTGAAATAAACCTTGTTTCTACCCCTTCTGAGCCTTAGCGGAGTGGGGATTTGGATATCAGCCTATTCTTTGGAATCATCTCTCATCAAACAGGAAACAATATAACTGTGGAAATCATGTAGAACACCTCTTCCAGACAAAACAACTATTCTTAGTTTTGATAATGTTTATATTGTACATTCTCTTCATCCCCATTTCCTGAGTTGATAAACACTGTTTCTGTCCTTTGGCCCATGATCTGCATCAAGGATGTCTTTATGGCTCACAAAGGCCTGTTTCATACCTGGCTTTGTGATTTCCTCCTGTACTCTTGAGATAATCTGTTTGGGGGACTGCTCCAGGCTCAGTTAGGCAAGGCAGTGCAGGATTCCTCCTTGGCGTAGATTTCTTGGAATGAATTCAGGCAATCTATGTTAATTAATCAACCCACTCAGGAGAAATGTCCCTTTTTCCGGTCTTCTCCTGTCACTGCATTACAAATACGCTACTGAAACAGGAAAGACATTTTTTTCAGAGATAGGCTTTTCCTGTTGTATGATTCATTAAATGGTTGTCGTGGTTCCGTGGAGACTAATTGCCATCAATCTCTTACAAGAATGGTTTTAAGGAACAAGATGAAGAGGCAAGAAATCTAATAGGACTTCCTTACTGTGCCACAGATTTCTTGCCTAGCCTTGGACAAATCAGTCTGTGTGTCTCACCTTACTAATCATTTGCAGTTTTTTAGATCTTAGTTAATAGTTGAAAAAATACTTTGATTTCTAAGGGAAGGAAGTTCTTG